GCTGAACTACATAGATCTGTGGCCCAGGACAAGTGGTCTCCTCACCTCTGCCTCTTTTCCCAATTCACTGATGTCCTTCCCTTGTTGATGTAGCCTAGGTCAGGGGCATGATTGGCTTGAAATCAGTCATGGAGTTCAGTTGGGTAGTTGGTAGTATGTCTATGCTGGGGGCAGGAGATGGAGAGTCCAGTTAGCTTGTTTTTCAGGAGCAGGGATATAGCGGGCTCCTACACTTGGTCATTTGAGGCCATCCTTTCAGGAATCTGTGCATTCATAGACTGAAGATTTGAAGGTTGGAGACTTCTGTGGAGCCTTGCAGAAGTGGAATCTGGACTTGGGAGCCCATAGGAAGGAAGAAAGATATTTAGATAGTAGTTAGAGAAATAGAGGCACAACTACCAGGACTCTATTTTTTTCAGCAGTCTCTGTCCTTGTGTACCTGAGTGCCTATGAAAATTTTTAAGGGCTTGCTAGTTTATATGGACCTGAATAAGGTAAGGACCTATAGAGTAAAAACAATGGGATTTTATAATTGTTAGAATTTTAATCTTTCTGGGAAAAGTATTCTCAATAAGAATATACACCTTTGTTTTTTGACTTTTGGGCATTTAGCTTTCATACATTTCAAAATTGCAGGGGTTTCCCTCTACTGATTTAGGGAAAAGGAAAGCAATAGGACCTTCCTAAGTTTTTTCCATGCTGAGGAATCAAGATTGACATTTTGAAGTAAAGCAGATTAGTCTTTTAACCAGAGATAGATCATGGACAAGAGACAGTGGATCTCTCTACCTTGTTTTAGGTCATCGGTTTTCTTCCAGATTACGTAACAAAATTTATGTCATCCATTAATTGAATTTAAAGTTCAGCTTCAGGACAGATAATTTGTGAGGGTAAATTACTGTCACTATTTGTTGTAGAGCTCAAGGTCAGTTTTCATTGAATATTTTATAGATTTAGACAGGTGGAGGCAGAAGTAGGTAACTAAAATCTTTTACAGCAGAGGACATATTTTAATTATATCAAGAATCATTATTTAATATATAGGTCACTGACCTTTCCCCAGATTATGTTTTCCTTTTTTGAGGGGAAAGCTGGATATAAACTGGCAGTTAAAAAAAATGTAAACAAATCAACTTGCTCATTTTTTTTTTTTTTTTTTTTTTTTTTTTTTTTTTTTTTTGAGACGGAGTCGCTCTGTCGCCCGGGCTGGAGTGCAGTGGCAGGATCTCAGCTCACTGCAAGCTACGCCCCCCGGGTTTACGCCATTCTCCTGCCTCAGCCTCCCGAGTAGCTGGGAATACAGGCGCCCGCCGCCTCGCCCGGCTAGTTTTTTGTATTTTTTAGTAGAGACGGGGTTTCACCGTGTTCGCCAGGATGGTCTCGATCTCCTGACCTAGTGATCCACCCGTCTCGGCCTCCCAAAGTGCTGGGATTACAGGCTTGAGCCACCGCGCCCGGCCAACTTGCTCATTTTTATTGTATATTTTTGCTTTCCAGAATTTTCCATGAACTGTGTGTGGGTTCATTGCCTACATCAGATGACAAAGACTTGAGTGTTGCTACTAAGATAAAGTGGTCTCTTGTAAAATTAATTTTCTCACTCTGAATCTAGTTTTGCATAGTATTTACTTTTAAAACTTAGCAGTGGTATACCTATCATAGTTTTATGATGGTAATGGAAAGTTGGTCAGAGAAAATCATACATGGGGCTAGTTGATTCAAAAACTTTGTTTAACTTTGGTAACTAACAAAGATTGGTAAGTACTGTGACAGGGTGTGAGCTGAAAAAAACGAACTGGAAAATAAGTCGTGACAGGAGAATCACATTAGGAAATGCTTTCTCCAATAGACGAAACATGAAATTTGGTTAAGGTTTATTTGGATAAATACTAACACTTTGACTTTTAAATCATACGAGGGTAACTATCATATATATGCTTGTATAAATCTTCATGGGATCAAATTATTTGCAGTAATCATGGAATCCACCAGTACCTTTTAGTTGCCAAACGTTGAGCACATAGTCTATAGATTTTTTTTTCCCCCTTGGAAACTTATAATTTTGGTATCACACAGTTTTTAGGAGGGATTGTTTCTCTTCTTATATTATTGGTTCTGTAGCGAGACTAAAATAATATTAAAAATTGTAGAAAAATCATTGAGTGTGGTGGTGTAGACCTGTGGTCCCTGCTACTTTAGAGTTTGAGGCAAGAAGATTGCTTGAGCCCAAGAGTTTCAGAAAAACCTGGACAACATAAAAATACTGTATCTGACTTAAAAATATAAATTGTGAAAATGTAGAAATTTAAATTTATGCTTTCAAAATTTGTATCGTAAAGGGATTTTTGTGTGTTTTATAAGTTGCCCATGAGGGTTTCTATAAAACTCTTCATCTAATTGAATAACGTGTATTTTGCTGCAAATAAACATTTCTCAAAGCAGAGACTCTTAATACCAATATGTTAAGACTTTAACATCATAATTTTGTCATTGCATTTATCTAAACTATTTACTTGCTCAGGCCCAGTGGTTCATGCCTGTAATCCCAGCACTGTGGGAGGCCGAGGTGGGGCATAACTTGAGGTCAGGAGATCGATATCAGCCTGGCCAGCATGGTGAAATCTTGCCTCTAAAAGCAGAAAAAACACATAAATTATCTGGGCATGATGGCACATGCTTGTATTCCCAGCTGCTCAGGAGGCCGAGGTGGGAGAATCACTTGAACCCAGGAGGCTGAAGTTGCAGTGAGCCAAGATCGCATGATTGCACTCCAGTCAGGGTGACAGGACAAGACTACATCTTACAAAATAAAATAACCACTCAAACTCCTTATATCACATTCTAAAATTTTGAGTTTCAGAAATTTTTATATTTAGTTGTTTAAAGAATCATTGGAAGCTCCTGCATACCATGAGGTATTGGAGGTCAGTCAACATATTAGTGTGTATACTGGAGTACCTAGAATACAGTCTTCCATGTAAGAAGTATTTTAATTGTTGTTTTTTGAGACTGTGATTCACTTTGTAACTGAGGCTGGAGTGCAGTGGTGAGATCTTGGCTCAATCCCATCTCCATTTTCTGGGCTCAGGTGATCCTCACACCTCAGCCATCCAAGTAGTTGGGACCATAGACCTGTGTCACCGTGCTCAGCTGATTTTTGTAGTTTTTGTAGAGATTGGGTTTTGTCTTGTTGCCCAGGCTGGTCTTGAACTGTTTGGCTCAAGTGTTCTGCCTGCCTCAGCCTCTCAAAGTGCTGGAGTTACAGGCATGAGACATTCAGCCTTAATAGTTGTTTAATCTGAATAAATAAACAAGTGAATTTTTATATAATGGAATGTTTCAAGTCATATACCTCAAGTATCTCACGATTAAATATTTAAAATATTGCTTAGATTCGTTTTATTTTTTAATATTGAAGGATGTATAAATTTTAAGGTGTTATATTGAGAAACTATGCCATTCATTAAAAGGAAATAAACTAGAAATAAGTCATCAGGCCAGGCGCTGTGGCTTAAGCCTGTAATCCCAGCAATTTGGGAGGCCGAGACTGGTGGATCACGAGGTCAGGAGATCGAGACCATCCTGGTTAACATGGTGAAACCCCATCTCTACTAAAAAATACAAAAAAAACTAGCCAGTCGAGATGGCGGACGCCTGTAGTCCCGGCTACTCGGGAGCTGAGGCAGGAGAATGGCATAAACCTGGGACACAAAGCTTGCAGTGAGCTGAGATCCGGCCACTGCCATCCAGCCTGGGTGACAGAGAGATTCTGTCTCAAAAAAAAAAAAAAAAAAGAAATAGGTCATCAGTAGAAAAGAGGATTACAATGTATTTTCTAGTATCATTCAACTGGAATCATAACATTGTTATTGCAGATTCACATTTCTTATACTTTTTATTAGCTCCCACTCACGTTCTGTGAAATATACCTTTTCAAGCCATAAATTACTCTTTAGAATTCTGGTGACCAATTATTTTTCTAGGTGGAAAGTAGTAAGTTCCAGGTTTCTCTCTCTGTCACAATAATATTATTTCAGGTAGTGGTAGATGACCATATCTAAGTAATTAAATGTCCTATAGTAATAATCTCTATCACAGAAGTACTTACAAAATCTAATTGCAGCATAAATATTAATTAGTATTATTAGAGATATGAAAGACTAAAATGCTCTGTTAGAGATCTATCTCTCCATGTACTTTATTGTACTTCATGTGGTTTCCTTTCTTTCTTGGCTTAAGCTCGTATTTCATTGAGCAATTAGGCTTGTTTTTTGTTTGTATTTCACTTTGTTCTCATATTTTAAATTGAAATTTTTGTGGAGTCAGGGTCTTGCTCTGTTGCCCAGGCTGGAGTACAGTGGCATGATCGTGGCTCACCACAGTCCCCACCTCTAAAGCTCAAGTGATTCTCCCACATCAGCTTCCCGAGCAGCTGGGATACGGCACACACCATCAGGCGTGACTCCTTTTTGTGTTTCTGTGTAGTGATGTGTTCTCATTATGTTGCCCAGGCTGGTCTCAAATTCCTGAACTCAAGCAATCTACCCACCTTGGTTTGGCAAAGGGCTGTGATTACAGGTGTGAGCCACCATGCCTGGGCAACATTGAGGTTTATTTAAAGGAATTGATGAGGGCTGAGTATGGTGTTGCACACTGGTTATCTCAACATTTTGGGAGGCAGAAGTAGAAGGTTTCCTTGAGCCTAGGAGTTTGAGACCAGCCTGGGCAATATAATGAGGCTTTGTCTCTACAAAAATAACAATAAAACATTAGCCTGGCATGACGATATGCACCTGTAGTTCCAGCTATTCAGGAAGTTGAGGTAGGAATATTGCTTGAAGTCAGGGTGTTGAGACTGTAGTGAGCCGTAATCATGCCACTACATTCATCCCTGGTTTTACAGAGTGAGACCCATTTTCATAAAAAGAGATTCATAAGAATCTCTTGATGCAACTCATTATAATTTTTAAAATGGAAACTCATTCTTGATATTACCTCAGCAGCATGTCCCCAAGAAAGTGTCAGAGCCTTTACCTGGACCTTCCCATGAAAAAGAAAACAGAATAGTCAATGGAAAAGGAGCAGGTGAGAACCGTATTTTATTTAAAAATCACTTGATGGAATGTTTCTTTTAAAATATGGGTACTAACATAGTCTAATAGCTAAGTAAAATGTCCTGTTAACTGTATAATAAGTAAAGGAGAAGTCAAATGGTGATAAGTTGTGTCTCTAACCAAGGGTCAGCAGTTGATTCTATTGGGAGTACCACTAAAGGAGCTGAGTTATGAGTTCTATTTTAAGATAGTCTAAGACCTGAACCAAATCAGGAAAGAGAAAAGAGGAAATGAATAAAAGAAAGTAAGAATAAGGAGGGTGGAGTGTACATGGAATAAATTTTTAAAAAATATGTTGGTGCATGTAATGGAGGGTAGTAAAGTGAAATTATTTTGTAGAAGAAGGAAGAACAGGGTGTTAGAAATAGGAAAGAAGATAAATTGAGCTTCCAGGACCACCATGTGTCAGAGAATTAGAGTAACATTTTCCTACTCTTACTGTCATCCTCACTACTGGGGAGGTGTTAAGGATTGAGGTACTTTACCACACAGACTTGCGTTTTATCTACCATAGATAAGCATCACCAAAAATGGTTAGCCATGTATGGCTAGAATTAAGTTTCATAGATAGTGTGGTAACCTCATGGGATAGTATCATGTAGGTCAAATTAACATAATTGAAAAGAATAGTGTTGGGTGATATATGGAGAAGAAATTAATTAAAGAAGGTATTGCCTGATGAAAAGTTCATTAGGAACACTATGGCTTATAAAGTAGTAATTAATTCAGGGACATAATAGGGAAGAAATTGAGGCTAGGCCAAAAAGGGCAACTAGGGTAAACAAATATGAAAGCACATCAGGGTAGAACAGGGCATTCAAATTTTCATGAATTAGTTGAAGAGCTTCTGGAAAATGCACACTCTGGTCGATTCTGTATTTCTCACTCAGGTGATTTTGGTGTTGGTCCTTGGGCATAGCTCTGAATAGCAAGGGAATAGTCTTCCTTTAGATAAATGTGGAAAAAGAACCATTGGACAACAATGTGAAGAAAAACAGAATCAAGGGCAAGCATTAATTTCCTTTTATTTCTGAGCATGATTCTAGCCACAGGGAGAGAGTATGAGATGAGAAAATAGAGATTACATGTGTATACTACTGCTGAATACAGATGAAAAAAGTGGTCGCAGTTATCTATAAAAAAACAGGTAGGAAGGGAAACATCAGGATGACAGATATAAATATTACTTTTTCAAAGGAAGAGTGATTGTGAAAGAACAAAGAGGGAGGAAGGAAAGACATTAGCTGCAGTCCAGGGAGTTAAGGCGAAGTAAACTTGAGACAACTCACTTCCAGTGGCTTCAGCATATGCCCAGCCTCACAAAAGAGGTTATTGCTGTGTAGAGTGCTGGAGGCAGGAGGGAGTGCTAGAATTGGAGTAAACCACAGCCGCTCATTTCACTTCATAACTGTCAGGCCTCAGAGAGAGAAGTCTCATTGATGTGAGTGAATAAGATGTGACTAAGTTGCATATAGATGATTTGGCTAATTTTTTTTGAGACAGCTCTTTGATATGATAGGTGTTTTATAAAAGTCCTTTACAGGGTAAGATGATATACCAAACTTAGCTAATTTTAGAAGCAGTCATAATATAAAATCCATTCTGTGAATACCAAAATTGTCATTTTCAAAGTATCCTGTACTGATTTTGAAATATAAAACTGTATTCATATCCAGCAAGTCTGTGGTAATTCAATGTTTCCTTTTTTGATAAATATTTTGATATTGGAATCTTATTCTACACGGTTTATTTGATGTGTTTTCTGGACTGCCTTGCATGAGTGGACCAAGGAGCTCTAATTCAAGGCCTAACGAGGGGATAGGAGAAACGTAGGTGCTGCGGTAGCCCATGTGGTCATGGGAAAAATTAGTATTTTGATTTGCTGTCATTTCATATGTGTGTATCCTAGCTGATCAATTTAGAACACTTTCTTCGATGAGAGAGTGAATTGCACGTTCATCTGAACTCTCATCTCAACTGTGTATTTCTTCAGCGACAGGACAAGGGAAATTTATTTGTGGTGTGCTGGCAGCAATGCCTCTGATGTGTTGAGTTAAAATAATCTGTGAAATCAAAGAGGACACAAATAAATGGAAGAATATACCATGCTAATGGATAGGAATAATCAATATTGTGAAAATGGCCATACTGCCCAAGGTAATTTACAGATTCAATGCCATCCCCATTAAGCTACCAATGACTTTCTTCACAGAATTGGAAAAAACTGCTTTAAAGTTCATATGGAAACAAAAAAGACGCTACATTGCCAAGACAATCCTAAGCCAAAAGAACAAAGCTGGGGGCATCACGCTACCTGACTTCAAACTATACTACAAGGCTACAGTAACCAAAACAGCATGGTACTGGTACCATAACAGAGATAAAGACCAATGGAACAGAACAGAGCCCTCAGAAATAATACCACACATCTACAGCCATTTGATCTTTGACAAACCTGACAAAAACAAGAAATGGGGAAAGGATTCCTATTTAATGAATGGTGTTGGGAAAATTGGGTAGTCATATGTAGAAAGCTGAAACTGGATCCTTTCCTTACTCCTTATACAAAAATTAATTCAAGATGGATTAGAGACTTAAATGTTAGGCCTAAAACCATAAAATCCCTAGAAGAAAAACCTAGGTAATATCATTCAGGACATAAGCATGGGCAAGGACTTCATGTCTAAAACACCAAAAGCAACGGCAACAAAAGCCAAAATTGACAAATGGGATCTAATTAAACTAAAGAGCTCCTGCACAGCAAAAGAAACTACCATCAGAGTGAACAGGCAACCTACAGAATGAGAGAAAATTTTTGCAATCTACTAATCTGACAAAGGGCTAATATCCAGAACCTATAAAGAACTCTAACAAATTTACAAGAAAAAAGCAAACAACCCCATCAAAAAGTGGGCAAAGGATGTGAACAGAAACTTCTCAAAAGAAGACATTCATACAGCCAACAGACACATGAAAATAGGCTCATCATCACTTGCCATCAAAGAAATGCAAATCAAAACCACAATGAGATACCATCTCACACCAGTTAGAATGGCAATCATTAAAAAATCAGGAAACAATAGGTGCTGGAGAGGATGTGGAGAAATAGGAACACTTTTGCATTGTTGGTGGGACTGTGAACTAGTTCAACCATTGTGGAAAATAGTGTGGCGATTTCTCAAGGATCTGGAACTAGAAATACCATTTGACCCAGCCATCCCATTCCTAGGGACATACCCAAAGGATTATAAGTCATGCTACTATAAAGACCCATGCACACGTATGTTTATTGCGGCACTATTCACAATAGCAAAGACTTGGAATCAACCCAAGTGTCCATCAGTGACAGACTGGATTAAGAAAATGTGGCACATATACACCATGGAATACTATGCAGTTATAAAAAAGGATGAGTTCGTGTCCTTTTTAGGGACATGGATGCAGCTGGAAACCATCATTCTCAGCAAACTATCACAAGAACAGAAAACCAAGCACCACATGTTCTCACTCATAGGTGGGAATTGAACAATGAGAACACTTGGACCAGGAAGGGGATCATCACACACCAGATCCTATTGTGGGGAACTGGGGGGAGGGATAGAATTAGGAGATATACCTAATGGAAATGATGAGTTAAGGGGTGCAGCACACCAACATGGCACATGTATACATATGTAACAAATCTGCACGTTGTGCACATGTACCCTAGAACTTAAAGTATAATAAAAAAAATTTTGAAAATAAATAAAAAATAAAATACACCGTACATTCACCATCAGCTTTGACATTGATTCCCTCAGGTTTGGTTTGCTCCTCTGTTTAATGGTCTCTTTTCCCCTCATGAGCCCATGTGTTCACAGTGACATCCACGCTTTTCTGTTTTAGGCAAAGGTGTTTGAAACACAATCTCACTATTGAAATGTAGTTCGTTTGAGTAATCCTATATTCGTATCTTCTGCATTATATTTCTGTCATGTTGTTGTCATAGGCAATGAAAAGAAGATGTTAAGAAGAACCTTCAAAACCTTAAGTAATTTTTTTATAGCCAGGCATTAGAACTCAGCTTGATAATAACACTGCATGAATGTTTGATTGGCCCTGTCATACTTACATATAATTGATGACATATCCCCTTTGCTTTCTAGGGCCTCTTGAACAACATCGTTCCTTGAAGGTTATTAATTATATATATTTTTTGAATCACTAACTCCACATTGTACAAAATATATATGATTTATGAATCATTTTCTTTTAAAACCCATTCAGCCTAACACTGAAATGGAAGATCCTGCTGTGAAAGGAGCAGTACAAAGGAAGAATGTTCAGACATTGTGAGCAGGTACGTTTTCAATATAAATTTAATGTGGGAAATAAGAGCATCAAATGATTGGAAGCACTCACATTATTCTTAACTCCTAATTCTATTTGTCTGAAATTGAATGGAAAACATTGATATAAATGTTACTATTGGTATCTATATTTGAATAAAAATAAATTTAGAAGCATAAAAAATATTTTGAAAATGCAAGCTTTCACTCAGATGTTTCTGCTTTAATGTTTTGAAAAGCATAAAGTTTTCAATACAAAATTTTTATTCTTGTCAGGGATTCAAAGCAGTGAATTTCGAGACTCTCAGTATTTCCAGTGAGTTATGTACCAGTTGGAGTTCTGATCTTTACCTAGAGGAAATCTTAACTGATTAATGTGTCAGTTTCTGTTTTAACTTTAGAGACTTGCTGCTAGTGTTATTACACTGATGATCTGAAGCCAATCAGATGTTCTAATGAGCAGACTGTGTGTGTATGTGTATGTATAGGTGTGTGTATGTGTGTGTTTGTTGCATCTTTGATTATTAAAAATGAGGAAAGTATTTATTCATTTATAACTGGTAGACACAGTCTTTTAGAATGGTGATTTTGAGACTTTTTGATGTTAAGGTTTTGAAACATGGTT